TTAAGAGAAGAGAAAAAAGACTAGAACCCTAGGAGTGAAGGGCAGGGGAATGGTGAGAGTAGCCAAGGAAAAACATTGAGAAACATGTTCAGAGAGTCAGGAGAATGAGAAGTTGTAGATTAAAGTGTAATTATCAGTTATTAGTATTGTCATTTAAGTCTGAATATGGTGAAGAAATGGTGTATGAGAAGAGTTGACATAAGAATTTGTTCCTTGGGCAGTTATCCTTTCTTTCTATGATCTGATTCAACATTTCAGTCAAAAGTAGAAAAATTACATAGTTTATTTATTCCCTAAGTTTAGTATGGGAAGAATTTGAGAAAAATGTGAAAAAACTTTCACTAAAATAAAAATTCTTTGTTGACAAATAAAATGAAATATATATTATATACAATATATGAGTTATTACATCTTTTCAACAAGTATAACTTGTTTAATTACACAATGACCAAAATAAATGCATATTCATTACACTAGCTGATTTAGACATCAATTTCCAAAGGTATAGGGGATGTTGGTTTATATTATCTTTGTTTCCACTGGCAAATAAAGGCTGAACAATATAATAAGTGAATTCCTATTTATCAATATTTCTTCCAAATTGATCAAATAATGTAGAGTTGATTACAGTATTTTGTCTATCATGTTACAAGTGATATTTTTCTTTTTTTAGACTATGTTTTCTCTCCACATTAAAAATATCACTTAAAATAATCTTAAATATTAATGTATTTACATGATACATATAGCTAAAAGTACTCATTCTATTTAAGGTAAATCCTGGCTCCTAAGTATGGCTTCAACTAAATTATGACAACTAATTATCTACTTTCATTATATATAAGTAATATTATATAACTACATAATACAATGATATATTAAAAGGGGGAATATTTCACTGGATGTTCAAAAGAGAGAGAGAGAGAAGGAAAAGAAAAGAAAAGAGGAATAAAACTGCAAGTTAGATGCTTACTTGTCATATATTAGCCCAGAGGAAATCTTAACTGCCTCTAATTTATGGCAGAACTTGTGCAAAATAAGCACACCTTGAGATGCACAGAGAATTTATTCAAAATGGGATCTACATCCACATAAATAATGTTTCTGGAGTGAAAATATAACCCCGTTGTAAAATATTTCACATAGTATTATTCCAAAGAATTTTCTTTCAAAATTACAATATAAGGGAGGTTAAACAGGAAATATGTCCAGTAAAGAAAAGAAAGGTCACAAAATATATACAAAATGACATCATTATTAAAATAGAACATATTCAGACTTTGCAGTCATTATTGTTGGAGAAAGTTAAAAAAAAAACTTATCTTGAAGTCCAGATGTTTTCTCATTACTGTCAAAATGTTTTCCCAATAGTTTATTAAATATCAATGATATAGATCATAAAAATGTTCCTATTCATTCCATGAATGACATTGTGTGTTTTGGAAATAATTTCTAGAATTTTTTAATGGAATAGAAGTCCCTATATTTTAATACACAACTACATAATGAGGATAAAACACAAAATTGCATTATAAAGCCCTCTGAGTTTATGAAAGACATTTTATAAAGCTAGTAAAAACAATGTAATAAATCCAGAAGTTATCAGTAATTAATATGTTACTATATTCTTTCTATCCATTGCTATTGGTCTTCTTTCTTTTTCTTTTGTTTTCTTTCCTTTTTGTCAAGCCTCTTATGAGGCATTAAATCAACTGTGAAATCTTTCTTAAGTTCCTTAGTCAAGAGTCCCCTCCTTTGTGGTCTCCAAATAGTCTGGCCAATCCCACCGCACTGAAAACTTTTCCTGCTAGAAAAATATTGTCATATTTAACATTGTCTCACCATCTCTAACAAAGATGCCTGGAAGCTTTTAAAGTATATTTACTGGACTACCTTGGCCTCCATAATTTAATAGTGTTTCATAAATTTCCAATGTTTGCAAACCACATAATGAATGGCCAATATGCCACAAAGAATTTCATACTAAGTTTGATACAAAAGTAAGGAATAACACAGCAGAGATAAAGGGCTCAATAAACAAAACGACAAACAAGACTGATGGAATGAATAGCAGGCTGGAAGAAGCAGAGGAACAAATTAATGATCTAGAAGACAGAGCAAGTAATCAAGCTGAACATAATAGAGAAAAAAGAATTATGCAAAATGAGAATAGATTTAGGGAGCTCAGGGACTCCATCAAATGTAATAACATTCGCATTATAGGAGTCCTGGAAGAAGAAGAGAGAAAAGGGGGCAGAAAATTTATTTGAAGAGATAATAGCTGAAAACTTCCCTAATCTGGGGAAGGTTACAGATATCCAGACCCAGGAGACCCAGAGAACCTCCAACAAAATCAACAAAAGTAGATCCACACCAAGACATATTATAATTAAAATGGCAAAATATAATGATAAAGAAAGAAAATTTAAAAGCATTGAGATGGAAGAAGACAGTTACATATAAGGGAAACCCCCATAAGACTATCAGGAGGTTTTTAGCGGAAACTTTCAAAGCCCAGGACAGTGGCATGATATATTCAAATTGCTGAATGCGAAAAATCTGTAGTCAAATACTCTACCCTGCAATAGAAGGAGAGATAAAGAGTTTCCCAGACCAACAGAAACTAAAGGAGTTCATGACCACTAAACTGGCTCTGCAAGAAATATTAAGGGGGACTCAATGGAAAGGAAAGACCAAAAGTGACAGTATGAAAGTAAGAAACACAAAGCCGTGAAAAAAATGAATATTTTTGTAAAATATCAGTCAAGGAACTCACAAAATAATAGAATGTAAAATATGACACCATATACCTAAAACGTGGGGAGCAGAAGAATAAAGAATGGTTTCAAACTTAAGCGACCATCAACTTAATATAGACTGCTATATGGGGAACATATTATATACAAACCGAATGCTAACCACAAATCAAAACCCACTAATAAGTATGCAAAAAGTAAAGAGAAAGTAATCCAAATATATCACTAAAGAAAACCAGCAAACCACAAAAGAGAAAATACAAGAAAGGATCAGTGAAAATCTTCAAAAACCACCACAAAACAGGTAATAAAATGGCAATAAAGACGTATCTAGCAATAACTAAGTTTGGAGTATAATTTTGTCATGCTCTCTCCTCTTTCTGTATAAGTATATATTCACTCACACACCTATACTCAGGCATACAAATACATGTATATACACAAACACATATATACACAAAACCATTTTTCTGCTATATATTGTTTTCTGCAAAGCTTTTGTTTTATTTTTCCTTTGGTATGACACTATGTCCCAGATATCTTTTGATGTCAGTAAATTATCCTTCTATCACATTTTGGTAGCAGCATAGCACTATATTTTACTTCACAAGTGAGGCTTATAGATAGTTTAGGTAGTCATTTCAGTGACTTACTTTACTAAAATATCTGAAGTGTACTTTATTGTCTAACATCTGTACTTACACATGTATTTCCATAGCACTGATTCCTAAAATTGAGATTGATTTGCTGTGGGGCACCCCGTACTTGCTATTTTAATCAGTATGGCCAAATTGCTTCCAGAATTTACATTCTTAACAACAATTATTGAAATACTGTACTTTACTTCACCTTCCCAATGACTGTTATTAGACTTAAATTTTATTGATTTATTTTTGATAACCTTATAGGAGAAAAGTAAAGTAGCATGTTTGCTCTAATATTCATTTAATTGTCACTAAAGTTTAGTACTATGGCTTCCTGGGTTTTTATGTTTTGCCACATTTTTAAATTGGTTCACTCATTTTTTTTTAAATAACTTGTAAATCTGGTTCATATTATGAAGAGTAATCTTTTTTAATTAAATGTTTTAAATATTTTCTCCTAAAATGCCACTTGTATTTTGTCTCATACAGCATGGAGTTTTACATACACTATTTATTTTTGACTGGCCATGAAATTGAATGTTGTATGAGGAAGAAACAAAGTAAATGACTTGTTTATTTATTTGTTTACCTTCCTTGCTTTGCTAGCACTTCACAAAAAGATATCTTTGTACAGTCACTTTATGTCAGCTAATTGCAGATGTTCTTGATAACTGGACTCCTTTAATGAAACCACAAACCTAATACAGTTTAGAGTCAACCACAACAATACAATGTAATTAAAGGTCAGGCTCAACTGGACTTAGTGTCTAATCTCATCAGGTGCTTTCTGCCTCTGTAACATTTCTGAAATCCTCCTTTCTAAGAGTCTAAGTGCAGCCATCTCTTAAAGAGATTATTGTGGTGGCCTACAACAATTCTCCCTTCTAGGGTGCCCTTCCTCCAATCAATTAACTACATTCTCCTCTCTTGTCTCAGTAAGACACAGTTCGTAGAATTCTCATACCTAAAAGCTTTCAAAATCTCCTGTTCAATTATAGGAGAAATATTCAAGTTATTATTATGATAACAGAATCCCTTCAGAGATGATCATCTACCAATTTTCCAGCTTTTTATTTGACATTATTTCTCACATACTCCATAATCAAACATACAAACTATTCACAATTCTGAGCAATATTTTGTTCCTCTATGAACTTTTGGAAATACAACTTCTGTGTCTTAGTAATATGTACCTGAACTATAGAATCGGAAGAAATGGCCAAACTTGCCTTGCACCATCATGGGCTAAGCTGGCATTTTGCCCCAAAAGTAGCAAGTATCTGAGGCTTGGATATTCTATTCTTCAATGTTACACTCAATGAAACGAGCTCTGAAAAAAAAAAAAAATGAAAAGAGCTCTGGAAATTTTACTCCTTTTCTATACTAAGTAAAATATTCTTTCAAAGCATCTGCATATCTTACATACAATATTTATGTCCTTCACTTATTTGTAAGGTTTGTTGTTGTTGTTACAGATGATGATGATGATGATGATGATAATTACTATCAAAAGGAAACATGTTTATCTAGTATCTGGGACTGATACGTGTCCAGAACAGATGCTGCCAATTTTCCTTAACTGATTCCTCTTTTTTTTTTTTTTAATATGGAATGCTTCATAAATTTGCATGTCATCCTTGCATGGGGGGCATGTTTATCTTCTCTGTATCGTTCCAATTTTAGTATGTGTGCTGCCCAACCAAGCGCTGATTCCTCTTTTTTTAACTGACATAATTTGAATTCTATCCATGGCTTTTAAACTGGTTGGTTAGATTGTTGATTTGTGGTTTTTTGTTCAGCTGTGAAGTTGCTTGAGTGGAAAAGATAAATAAGACAGGTGGCAGAAAAATGCGTACTGGGTACATTAGTGACACCAATTTTCTTTACAAATAGATGGAATCCCCAATCACACAGCCAAGGCCAGCTCTGCAGGAGGGTCTAATAGTAAGTTCAGGGGAATGTCTGAGACCTCAACCCAGTCTGGGTACCCAGAGCAAACCAGGGCAGCCTGAGGCAATCTTCAGAGCCCACTGTCCAAAACAATGTACTCAGATATTTCTGTTCTCTATTTGGCGCTGCCTCATCTTCAAGTTTAGGTTACAATTGGTCCAAAAAAAAAAAAAAAAGTTGAATATGTTTCTTTCAGTTCTGCTTCTTCCATTATTTTAGCTTAGCTGATGGAACAAAAGTGGGGTGCCCTCATTTTTCTTATGGCCTAGCCATGTCCTTTCATATCTCCAAAGTAGAATCCACTTTTTCACACAACTCGCCTGCTGGTATAATGATAGAAACTAAAGATATATGTCAAATTGATGCTTCCCTTTTACACTGGACCTAATTTTTACTTGGTTTGGCAGCTTTTTTCTTCAGAGTTTACATCATGAGTTATTATAATTCACTAGCTCAAATGCAGATGAACTTTCTTCTTTGTTCTGTGTTTTTCCATTCATTTGGAGAGTTGTGAAAGGAGTTATGAAAACAGTGCTTACTATCTTTACCAGAATTCCCATTCATTTAAAATGTATGTGAACTTGTCTATCTCTAAACTTTGGAAGACAGTAAGTGAATCCTAGGTTAACCCCACTGTAACAAAATTAAGAAAGTAAATAAATGTTTAAAGACATAAAGCATTAGTCCATTTGTAATTTACAGTGTTATTTTAACAGATATTCAAGCCAAACCCAATGACATGGGTAGAATGAAAGTGACATTCCTAAATTAATGTCACCATGAAGGATTAGGCAACGTTACTTCACGCATATAAGAAAGTAAAAGGGAGTGAAAAATTAATGTAAAAATATCTTTTGGTTGAAAAAATTTAAGAAAGTTAAATTGATGAGTAATATAGCAAGGCGTAAATAGGTTATCTTGGGTATTTGTGTTGTTTTGACATGTTCTTAGAAAATATTAGATTTTACATAAATTTATGACTGTCTTGAGCTCTTTATTTTATGGAGATGTATACAGATATGCCTCTTTATACCAAACATAATCACAGAACAAAGCATAACAGTGAATTAAAAAAATTCTTGTTCATTGAATTTTTCATTCACAAATGTTCTTAGAAGAAAAAGAGAGAGGTCAGCAAACATAACTGTTCACATATTATCTCTGACACAAAACCGCTCACAAACATTAATTCTCCTCTGTATTCACTCATAAAGTAAAGATTGCACATGAAATAAACAGGAACATTAAATATACAAATACATAAGCAGTCATAAATGTTAACCCCTATCCTATTTTAGCATATTCATAAGTCTATTTCTGCATAACAATTAATGCCTCATGCTGTTTCAGCACCAACTTAGCAGATAATGAGACTTCTGTATGTGAAAATGTAAATGATTTTACTGACCAAGTAACAGGGGACATATATTTCTTTTCCATAAGAAAATCTAGCCAGTAAAGAACTAAAGCAGGGTTGCAATTGCAATAATTTTCTTTGAGATAAATTAAAAACCTCTTTCTTTAGTAAAAAGAAACATTATCAAACACCTTACTAGAAATCTGATAAGATAAAGTTATACAGCAGGTCAAGTCACTTTTATTGTCGGCAACATGATTTATAATGCATGTGTCTTGTAGGACGTCTATTAAGGCAGATATAATCTTATAATCCCCATCCATCAATGTGAGTGCAATAATAGGGTTCTATTCAGCACAGCACAGTCTTGCACAGCAATATCTTAGGCGTTTCAAATGAGCATTTGCTACATAAATATTATTGTATACAGATAGAGAGTTGAATTAATCCAGGCTTAAAATTATTTCTGAAACTATTTCGTAGTATTCCAAATGCATGCAACAGATCTTTCTTAAAGTTCTGTTCTCCCTATTTGATGAAACTTGGTCATTTCAAACTCAGTGTGAAGCCAGCCTCTAAATCCTAACCCTGTTCCTATTCTTTCCTTTTCTCAAATATTGTGTGGGATTTTATTCCCCTTTTTTCCTCATTCATAAGCTTAGTCTATTATTTGTTCATTTGCCTGATCATTCAATCAAAACAATATATTTTTCAAGTTGTAGGTGAGGTAGACCAGTAGATTCTAACTTTTAAAAAAACTAATGTCTCATGGAGATTAGGAATAAATAATACACATAAAATGTAATAAGTTCTACAACCGATGTAAGGACAAGGTTATATGAAAGCATAGTAAAAGTTTTCAGGGTGGCTAGGAGATATGTAAGGGAACATTTAAGTTATATTTTAGGGTTGAAAATTAAGTTAGAATTTTGAGAACACATGCAGGAAGAGTAAAAGGCTTAGGTAGAAGGAGAATAGTGTGTAAGGACACAGAGTGATGAAGTATCACGGAATGGTGTGGAGCTGTAAGTATTGAGTATGGCAGGGTAGCAGAGGTCCAGGGAAATCTGGTAATATGGCTGGAAAAGTAGGTAGGCACCAGATTATAAAATCACTGTATGCTAACAGTTTATACTTATTACTGGGGAAACCACTAAAGAATGTTTAGCTGCCAATAGATTTAACCACATTTGGGTTTAAGGAAATTAGCCACCTAACTTAAGAAAATTAAATAATAAAATGTTATTTTTACTCCACTGAAAACTATGACTTAAGCAATTTTTATAAAGGTCGACAACAGGGCACCTGGGTGGCTCAGTTGGTTAAGCATCTGCCTTCAGCTCAGGTCATGATCTCAGGGTACTGGGATGGAGCCCTGCATCTGGATCCCTGGTGAGGGAAGAGTATGCTTCTCCTTCCTCCTTTGCCCCTCCCCCTGCACGTGCTCTCTGTCTCTTTCTCTCTCTCTCAAATAAATAAATAAAATCTTTAAAAAAAAAGCTCGAGAATAAGCACAACTAAAAAATATACATTTAGGGATACATACAGGTGTGATAAATACATTACAAAGAACACATGTATTGAAAACACAAAATTCTTACTATCCTCAAAGAATAATGCTTACCATTGAGGGAACAACAGGTAGAAAGGATTTCATGGAGTGCACAGGTAGAAGTGTACTTAAGAAGTTTGATTTTTAAGTTAGGTACCACTATGGTGGAAAGTTATTTGAGTATTATACTTTATAATATTAATATATATTCTAAGTTTCAAATTTTATAAAATAAACTGCTTAAAATGAATAAACATTTACAAATAAAATATTTGAAAACATTACAAATAAATTTCAAATATTACATTATAAAATATTTATTTTATTTTATTTTTTTATTTTTTTTAAAGATTTTATTTATTTACTTGACAGAGAGAGAGATAGCGAGAGCAGGAACACAAGCAGGGGGAGTGGGAGAGCGAGAAGCAGGCTTCCTGCCAAGCAGGGAGCCCGATGCGGGACTCGATCCCAGGACCCTGGGATCATGACCTGAGCCGAAGGCAGACACTCAACGACTGAGCCACCCAGGCGCCCCATTATAAAATATTTTTAAATGAATTAGATGGGGAGAAAAAGAAATAGAAGCTAATTCAACATCTCAGGTAAGAACAGATGAGAGATTTAACAGAGTAGTGAACTCTAGGCAAAAGGGAAGAAATCAGGTTCAGTCAATGGTAAGAGAGAAAGGAAAACAGTAATGAAGGTGGCCTCAAAATTCAAGGTTAGAGGCACTCTAAAGAAGAAAGTGTTCATTAGGGTCTAACACTGCAGAAAATTGGGACAGAAAAGTACAACTGGATTTTCAAACTGTGGGGGTCATTGGTCCATTTGGCCATAGCTTTCCTATGCCTTAGTGGAGACTGAATCCATAGTGCAATGCGGATTCAAGAATTTCTACTTCGGAGTTGCTTAGAGGTGGTGATCTGGTTTGGAGGGCAGGTGCTAGGGTTCTTGTGTTGATATTGTGATTATAGGAAAACTTCAAATTTTTCAGTGTCAACTACAGATCAAAAACATTACATTGTTAAGATGCTTTTATTTACACTTACATTGCTTTTTAAAATGCCAGTTTTTGAACAGAATCATCATCATCATCATCATTGTTAGGGCTATTATATCGCTCTTTGAGGTGATTTTAGGAAGTGTTGATGGGAAGAGAGATTCTCTTTTGGCACTAAAATAGTTGAAGAGGAATCAGGAAATAAGATGGAGAGTTAGTGAGAGGCAATATAGTGCAATGGTTAAAGTTATAGACTTAGAAGCTAGTTCCCCTAATCTGAATTCTGGCTCATACTCAGAACGAGTACAGTTCAGTGAGTTAATTAACTTTTCTTTGCCTCAGTTTCTTTGACTGTAAAGATACTAACTATCTCAAAGCATTGCTAGGATTAAAATAATTAATATATAATACTTAGAATATTATCTGTCTTATAGTAATCTGTTCTAATTTTTAATATTATTTTGGTGAAATTGTAAAGAAACTGTAATTGCTTGTCCTTTCTGCTCTCTATGTAGCTAAGAAATATTATGCGACACTTGTAAATAAGATACATGGATGACTGTATATCATTTTAATGTTATATTGGAACATGAAAGTCACCATTGAAGAATTATTTAATTTTCTAGGAGAATATACATTTGTTTGATTTACCATTTCTATTGATTAGAGATTAAGCTCTGTGAAATTACATATTAACTTGCAGAATAATGATAGTTGCAAATAATTTCTGCCTGTGGAAAAGAGAAACAATAATGCTTAAAGTTCAATGCCTTGTAGGACATTAACTGGCTTTGTCTTTAACTTTGCAAGTTTATTTCAGCATTCTTATTCTTAGTGACTTTGGTCTC